CGTTGATGGGAGTGACTGGCATGTTGACTCCTCCAGACAGAAGCTCCACCTGTGTGACGACCAACAAAAAAAGAAAGCCATTCCTTAGTCTTTTTATTTTAAATTATTTAAACAATAAAATGCAGACATTCAATACTGTTAAAATTAATAATTTAGTTTYGATTAAGATCATTTTTTATCGTAATTATCAACAGAACGGTACTGTGGCATAATTTTAGGTTTTAACCTCACATTTCTTTGTTGTATTTGTGAAATTTACACTTTTTTTAAAAAAAAGTGCTTTAAGTTTACTGGTCTTAGTTCTATAAATTCAAAAACTTAAAAATGGCAGGACAAGATAAACCTGACACTAGTGTGTTTATCTACGTTTGCTAACAGCAGCAGTGTTGGCCGTTACCTGTCCAGCTCCTTCCTCTTTGCAGAGGTCRATGGCAAAGGCCAGATCCATGGCAGCAAATACTGCATCTGCTTCACCCGTCTGTGAATGACGGATCAGCTGACGCAAGCTCTCGTACATGACCGGGTCAAAGAACGCAAAGTCATGCCAGTTGACCTGCAGGAACAAAAATCTGTTTTATTAACTTGAAGGGCAAAATATTCTGAAGCAGGTTTGAACTTTAGCTTCAAATATACAATATTTATATCAAAACATTTTACCTTTCTACCAAGCAGCACTTTGATGACGTGTCTGTTCAGTGTGATTGGACAGAGTTCATTCTGCAGCAGACACAACCCCAAGATTCTGTACAGAAAAAAAAGTCAACGTATTACCGGTAGTTCTTTTTAAATAAGCTCAAATGTTAAGTAAATATCTTTCAATTACCTGCCGATGTTACGGAAACAGTTGAGCCTGGCCTCTGTGTTTTTGCCTGGCCGAGGCGAGTAAAAGCCTCGTTTRCCAGGCTGGTAGAAAAGAGGAGCGTTGTCGTCCCCGTCATCTGGATCATCCAGCTCCATGTCAACCACGCTGCGTGTTGAACCGTGACGCTTACGGTTCTCCTGCTGCTGTACCCACGTAACGAGAAAAACAGGGGAGGACTTTGTAAATGAGAAAACTGCTAATAAACCATGAAGTAGACAAGGACTCAAGASAGCTTTAGTTTTTAAAAATAAAAAGGTAATCTTTCTCTAAGATCAYGTTTAAAAGATTATTTAGTTAAAAGAAAATTTTGTTAACCTGTGTCTTTTCTGAAGCCTCAGGAAGCCCAAGATCCAGTATGCTGTCGGCTCCRTTTTCCCTGAGAAAAACAGTTTGTGAAATGCATGTTTAAAAACCGTTTTATTGTCAGGGGCATGTGTTGTTGTGGTGACGCTAAATTTACCTTCCATGTGCAATGAGAAGCTCCATGGCCTCTTCTACTCGGGCTCGGAGAGAATCCTCACTTGCTAGAAGCAGCAGCAGCTGAGCTGGAGACAACTCCAGCAACATGCCTGTAATTTTACTGGCAAACGCCTGCAGAGAAGCATGAGGTTAGCCTTAATACCATCATAAAAAGCATGCAAATGGTTCAAACATTACAGTTCAAACTACTGCGGGATAATTACCGGCTGCATTGCGTGAACTCGTGGGTACAGTCGCTCTCCGAGGGCTTGTCTGTGTGCAGGCARAGGGTCCGGCTCATCACTGGGGTTTCCCTCTGATGAGGGCCTGAAAGGCCGGGTGTCTATGGACAACTGCCTCCGGGAATCTCTGCAGCACACAAAAAATATCAGTCTTTTAATTAAAACACAAACATTTTCTTGTCCAAGTCATAAGAAGAGGGCCATACATTCATCAGCCATAAAAACCACCATATTAAGTAGGTTTCTTTTGAGCCATCTTTACAACCCTGATCCACCATGACATGGACTCCACAAGACCTCTGAAAGTTCATGGTGGTATTTATTTAGCATCAAGTGTTCTTTAGAGGAACCCTGACTAGTTGTAACAAATATTTAATAAATATTTACTTCAACTGTAAAACAAAGACTGTAAAAATATTGTAGGCTGTTTAGTTTTTATAAACAACAAATATACACAGACGGCAACATTTTAGTACCACCACAAAGCATACTGGGTAAATGAGGACATTTACTAGGTGTTCTGGTGCGAGGCTAATAATGCTCCCGATCTAATAATGCTAGTTTGCCATACATAACCCTAATTCAAGTAAAGTTGGGACGTTGTGTCAAACGTAAATAAAAACAGAATACAATGATTTACAAAWCCTTTTCAACCTATAAACAATTAAATCCACTACAAAGACAAGATATTTAATGTTCAAACTGATAAACCTTTTGGTCTTTTTCAAAGATTCACTCACTTTGAATTTGATGCTGCAACACGTTCTAAAAAAGCTGGACATGGTCATGTTTCCCTCTGTGATCCATCAGCTTTCCTTTTAACASTSAWTMAGTGTTTGTGAACTGAGGTCACTAACTGCTGAAGCTTTGGAGCTGGAATTATATCATTCTTGTTTGATGAACAATGTCTGTTTCTCAACAGTCCGCTGTCTCTGTTAATATTTTGTGCTTCATAAAGCTCCACACATTTTCAATACGAGACAGGTCTGGACAGCAGGCAGGCCAGTCTAGTACCTGCAGTCTTTTACTACAAAGCCACCCTGTTGGAACATTCAMTTCAATTMAATWTCAAAAATACTTTGATCCCAGARGGAAATTAGGTCCCACTSTGCAGAATKTGTCTTCATTKTCTTGCTGAAATCAGCAGGACGTCCCTGAAAACAATGTGGCTTTGATGGCAGCATATGTTGCTCCTAAACCTGGATGTAGCTTCCAGCATTAACGGAGCCTTCACAGATGTGACAGTTATCCATGCCATGGGTACKAATACATCCCCATACCATCAGAGAGGCTGGCTTTTGAATGTTGAGCTGGTAACTATCCAGACAATTTCTCTTTGGTCTGGAGGACACCACGTCCATGATTTCCAGAAACAATTTGAAATTTGGACTCAGACCACAGGACACTTTTCCACTTTGTCAGTCCATAATAAAATATTATCATCCATGTAACAAATTCTTTTAATTCATATTAGATATTTATTGGCAGCACAACGGCTCAGTGGTTAGCACAGACGCCCCACAGCAAAAAGGTCCTGGGTTCGATCCCCGGTTCGGACCTGGGGTCTTTCTGTGCGGAGTTTCCATGTTCTCCTCGTGCTTGTGTGGGTTTTCTCCAGGTACTCTGGTTCCCCCCACAGCACAAAAACATGTACAATAGGTTGCCTTCAGGACCAGGCCTGCCTTAAAAAAGAGATTTGTGATCTCAATGGGATTTGCCTGGTAAAACAACGGTAATAAATAAATAAATAAATAAATAAATAAGAACTAAACAGCCTATATATTTTTACATTTGAAGTAAACGTTTATCAAATAATATCCAATGTTACAGCCAGTCCGTCCTACAGATTGACAGCATTTATGATGTTCTGACCAATATGAGTAGATGAAGCGTACCTGTCTCGATCTCTCCGAGATCCCGCTCGAAGTCCTCCACTTCTCCTCTCTCTTTCTCGGTCTCTGTTCCTCAGACGCTGCATTAGATCTAACAAACAACATGTCAAACACAGTTAGGCTTTTTTTCCTTTATACAATAAAGCAGTCCATTMTTTTCATTAACACTGAAGTACCATTTAGCGTAGAACAAAATCAAATTCCATAATGTGCAGTAGTTTCTATGTATTGTCATACTTGAATTGTAATCGTGATGACACGTACTGCTGGCCTGCATGCCCTTGCTGACACTCTGAACACAGTCCAGGTTGGGCAGCTTATCGTTGGAGAGGAGGGCCAGCGCGATGGCTGTGTAGAAGCTGCGGGCCACGCCGCTGCCTTCTCCAGGCTCATCTTTAAAGGTGACCTTGACCCGGTGTACAGCCATGGGCGTGGTTGTGCACCGCCTGCCRAAGTGTGCATTCAGCTGGCGCATGGTCTGCTGTATTAGCTGGTCCCGATCACGGTCCACCTCCAGGGCCAGGTCACGAGACTGAAGGTTCCTTAATTTCTCCATCTCTCGTCGGAACTTGGATTCCTTCACCTCGAAGCCACCCAGCTCAGTGAGAATCTGAGATTTTAAAAAAATAACAATTTAAGTCAAAATTTAKTTGTTATTAAATTAACCAATCAGTATTTCATTAGCTCTCATTGTTTCATTGGTTCAAAATGAAAATATACCGATCCAGGCTCTGCTCCTACATCCTCCATGAAGACACGACCAAAGAGTTCAAGCGACAGACGCCAGCGGCCAAGAAGCATATCATGTGAGATCATCATCCCCATGAAGCTGCAGTGAGGTCTGGACAGATGGAGGACAACCAACAGTTTAATAAAAACTTAAAACTAGAGCTGGGAGGAAATTAAAGAAATATATGGTTGATTACAGACCTTGTAATTAATTCATCACGATTAATCGCATGTTTATCAAACAGCAATTTTCAACACAGTAAGCAAACATTTTCAATTTTAACAAAAGATAGTTTTTGGTTGAATAGACATTCAAAAATACTTTAACCTAAAGAAAAAAATGTTTAGTCTTAATCTAATGTACCATTTTATTAGTATGACGATTAGTTAGTGTTGTTAAATTAGCATTTTTCTTCCTCTTCTATTTCCGTGGACTTGCCAATAACACAAAATCTGATTGGCTGCAATATAGGTTGAACGTTTGTAGTTGTAACGATGTTCAATCAATACATAAGTGTTGCAGGAGCATTTTATTGAGTATCTGAGGTAGCATTACATGGATGTTAGAAAATTAAGACCTATTTAAAACAAYTTAAGATGAAACAATAATTCAATTGATGACCTAAGACCTAAAATTTGGATTTAAAAAATTTAGACATTTAGGACTCTGCAGAAACCTTGTAGAAGTCACATGGTTTTCTGGAGCCTAAAACCTCATCCAGATGACTGGCCATCAGTTACCTAAATGATGGGAGAGGAGGACCGTCGCTCTCAGTGAGGCCGATCTCTGCGAGCAGGCTGCTCTTTAGCTGAGCAGCGAGGTCGTGTGGTGAAGGTCCCAGTTTTGAAGMCTCCAGCTCCTGTTCGCCCAGCGACTGGTTCTCAGCGCTCCGCTGGCCAAGCTCCATGCTCATGACATTTTTCAGGTTGGCKGTGTAAGACATCTTGGTGGGAAGGATCTGTTGTAGGAGGATTCAGWGTTGTTCTTTAGTAATGTCATCAACTTTGTGTTTTAAAAAGGTAAAGACAGAGTGATGCTGAAAAATAGTATCAGGACCGAAAACAAATGACCGTGTTCCATATTTCACATTTAAGAGATAAATCAGTAAATCTCTAACAAGTTGGTTTCACAGCAAAATCATGACATGCAGATGGAGGGCAGGAAGTGAAAGTGGTGGAGGATCTACAGTCTGGAATAATGGCCAAGTGTTGTGTTGTTTATGGCTGCTCCTATTATTCTAACTGAGAAAAGGAAAAGAGCTGTTAGAGTGACAAAGAYTGTCATACACAAAGGTGAGAAATGTAGAACGCTCACAGGATGACGTCTGTGGTCAGGAGGAGCAGTCTGCTAATGCCTACAGCGACTACAGAGTATGTTAGCTAACTTGTTTTTAGTGGCTGTGTTTATGTAGCGTTMGGTTGTTGTAAGAAGTTTATTTACTCACGTAGGGGTCACCTCGAGTGAAATAATCAAGGAAACTGTCTTGGACCTCAGACCTCTGATGGGCCGTTAAAAGGGACAAAAACTCTGTTCCACTTAGAATGATAAAGTTACAGGGAGTCATGGACTTCATCTGGAAATTTAGGCTGCCCTAGCACTACAAGACATTGGTGTTGCATGTTTGTTGACGTTAGCTGCTACTGCTAGCATCTTAACATATAAAACAATAAAAGAACAACACACCCTGGCAAAACCAACTATAATTATTGTGGAGCAGTTTGGTGTGGAGGTTGGGAACTCACCCACTAACAAAAAAGGTTTTCGCCTCCAGCAGACTTTTATAGGTTTTCTTCTGCTGTTTGATGCAGTAATACGTCTGAAGGGCCAGGTAGTTTGTGATAAACAGCCTCGATATTCTGTAAATCTTTAGATTCTGTCAAAAACTCATTCATCTTCTTGAGATATGGTCACTTCTGACATATTTGTGAACTAAATGCTGGTATCTTTGTCTTGAAACTGGATCTAAATCTGTACAATACTGACTACAAAAGTTTCTTCCATAGATATTTTACTTCCTGCCCTCCATTTGAAACTGTGCGTCATCAAAACCATGTGACTGAAACCCAGCTATTTCCTACAGAGTGAAGAGTAAGCGTTGTCTTATGTGTTTGTATTTAAGGAAGTTAAGAGTTTCACAGCTGCCAGCGAGTTTGATAAAGATGGGTTTTATACCTGGGAAGGGGAGGAGAGGAGAGAGGAGCCCATGTTTACCTCCAGGCAGTTCCTGTTTACGCTGGTCTCAGCCAGGCCTTTGGTCGTCATGTAGGAGGAAGAGTACAAGCCCTGTGAGGGACGGCCAAACAGATCCTCCTTCCTTGCATTAGGCTGTTGGATGAGAAGCAGAATRAACTTAATGCCATGAAGATCACTGTGACATGTTTATAATGTAATGGCTACTGTCCAAATATTTCAAACAAAATGCTGTCATGYTGGCATTTACTGTATGTAGCTGATAATACATTACAGTTGTCATAAAGTAAGTGAAGCTTTGTCATAAAAATTAAAATTAATACCTTTTTTTAATACCTGTCTTTTATATTACACAAATGTATAACTTTGCTTCAGCTTTGGAGCTATTTCTGATGTGGCATTGTTATCATGCAATGACAAAGTTGTAAGCTTTTCTCGTTTGAAGTCTCAGACTTGGGCAGGCTCTTAAACAATTAAAGTTTACCCACATTGTAATTAAGGTGTACTCTGACAAATAATAGGCTGTATTACAGAGTATTTTTTTCAGAGCATTTCTCATTTTAAATCTCTCCTTTTTATTTATTTTTTTTGGAAGAATCAGCCTCTATGCAAACAGCTGCACGGCACTTCTTTGACCTGCAGGAGATGGGGCTGGTCYGCCAGTGGAATGGCCTCCGCGAGAGGAACATCAAAGGGGTTGGGTGGGATGCAGCCCAGGAAGGTCATGGAGTCAGAGCGGCGAAAGAAAGGGTGGTTCTGACCAGTCTCAGATGAAACTGGGTCTTCATCTTTGTCCTGAAGAGTTGAACCTGTGGTGAAACAGACAGTCATTGTATKGTCCGTATTATACACAATATTCTAAAGTATTAAATTTTAGTTTTCTGTCTTACTTTGATTAGTGTCCTCATCGTTCTCATGCTCAGAATCCTCATTGTCCAAACCAAGCTCCAAAATCTCTCGATTCCTAGATGTAAAAAAATAATTACATCTAAATCGAAAAAAACTGTTTAACTAGAAGTAATAAATCAACTAAATCTACTTCTTTTCTCTTTATTGAACAAATACAATAATCACAATCCTTCCTCTTCCTCACTGTTGACATTCACCTCTTTCTATCCATCTGTGGGGTGTCCAGGGTGGTCTGCTGGTTCATGGCCTTTATCCAGTAAATCAGGGCCTGGAAAACGTAGGCCACATGTTTCAGAGAGCACACGTCCAGGACAGGAAGCACATCAGAATGCTCATCGTTGTGAGAGCGCATCAGAGACAGTGCGTAGTTCAGGAAGTCTCCACGTGCTGACATCATGCCTTGACGAGCGGTCAACAGAGTGGCCGCTCTCCTGGAAGTAAAACAAAAACAAGTCAGCATGTGAAAAAAAAAAAATCTGACCGCCTCAACGAGAGTAAATGCGGTTTCTTTCTGATTTTAAACACATAAAAACAATAATCTGTACCTGCGGCCTTCCAGAGTGCGGAGGCTGGCCTCCTCTCGAGCGGTCATGCGTTCTCTGCGAGCAGAGTGCTGAGAGGCGTGAAGCGGGTGACTGGGGTGACCCGGGTCTCCGGCTGATGACAGAGCTGAGCCGTATCGCAACTGGGCCTCGGTAGAATCCATGATGGACACCATCCAATTCCAGGTTGGAATCAGCTTTTCTTCAACATAATTCTGAGGAACACAGTAATGTTAAACTCTTTATGTTCACAATTTGCTCMAGCAGACTTTTATTTAGGGGCAAACCACCTCAAATCACCCACTGCTTTTAACCCAGACACATTCAAGAAAACTGGCTCATTTGTCAATTGTGATCTCGAAGCACAAGATCTCAAAGTTTAGTTCAGTCAGAGCAAAGGTTACAAAGGTAGTGCCCCCCGAAATTTCAGATTTTCTGCAAAAAAGGGCACATCCACATATTTTCAACCCTAATTATTTCAGGAACTACAAGTTTTCACCAACTTGGCGTCATTGTGAAAACAAATATGATATACATTCCAAAGCCATTTTAATCCAGTTTTTAAAAAATTACATTAAACTGACCTTTTCATGAAATTTAGACCCTTATTTGTTATCTAGGCTAGATTTGGAATTCTTATCAAACTCCCTTTCCAATGATACCCAGGTTATTGAAAATAGACCMAGTAGTTCCTGAGATAATTAGGGTTGAAAATAGGCAGATGTACTCATTTTTGCAGAAAATCCTAAATTTGGGGGGCCATATCTTTGGAACCACTGGTCTGATTGACCTAAAATTTGAGAGACTGTGCTGTGGGATCACAAAAGAAAAATGTACCAATTTTCATCATATTTTAAAKGTGGCTAGGTTCAATTTTTGTTTATTTAGTTATTTATTTATTTATTTGGTGATTTAACACTGATGACCTTTAATGTTTGAACAGATCTGAACATTTATTCTTGTGTGTTGCACAGAAATTAAATCTAAACTTTCTTACCTGCAGGTTGACTGCATCTTGGTAGGACAGCTTTACAGCTGCAGGATACTGAGAGTAGACGAGATGGTTGTACTTTGGAATCAGACTCATRAGGTCTGAGATCTGCCTGATGACGATGCTGTAGGCACGAGCCAGGCTACTGGCAGACGTCAAGTAGCTGCTGGAGTTACTGGCCTCCAGAGCTGCTGCTGCCGCTGCTGCACTGGAGCTGATTGCACTGGAACGGCGCAGATTGGTAGGATCGATATAGATCAAGCCTGTGGAGCTCGCTATTTCAGAGACAAGAAACATAAGAGGTGAAATTTATACACCTGTTTTCTGTGAAGACCCCGGAAACTGTGAACTTGTAGCAAAAACACACAGCTATGAAGAGAAGCAAGTCTCACAATGGGAGCATGCACACACAAGATTCAAGTGTTTATTAACACTTATAACATTTTATCCAGAAAATAAAGCAGTGCTTACTTCAAACTACCAATAAATATATTTCACTGTATTTTTCCAGAGTGTTTTAAAATACTGTGGGGTTTATAAACTATTGTGCCAAGTCAGAAATGTGTTTTCCTCAATAATCCAGTAACAGGGTTGATAGTGGAAAAAAGTCCTGAGCACCGTTCAAACTTCAGYTGGAMCTGAATGAAGGGTTTGTTGAGACCCAAGTCCCGYCCCCACCCTCTTTCTGATTGGCTGGTAGGCCTGTCTAGTGTGTTTAAAGTGACAGCTGCACCTGTTAGGTCCAGAAAGTTGTTAAATCTCTGGTTGAAATTCTCTAATTTGGATGCACGCATTCAAATCTTGATGTTCTCGCTCGAATCTCCCATTGTGAGACTTATTACTCTCCACACACAGCTGCTCACTGACCAGCTGGTGTTGAAGAGCTGGAGGGAGCACTTCCACTCGCCCTTTGGCTGGGAGTGTTTCTAACAGCCCACTGCATGGAGCGAGGAGCCTGGGCTGCAGAGTTAGCATGTGAGGCGCTGGTGGTCCTTTCCAGCGGCTCATCTAAAAGGAATGTCTCCTGGTCGACGTCATCGCTCTGACTGCTGCTGCTGTCTGAGTCACTGGAGTCGTTGGACTGGGAGTCGTCCTCTGAAAAGAAGGCAGGAACACTGCTGGCACCTTTAACAAGAGCGATAAAGAAAAAAACAAGAACAAGTTTGAAGACAACGTTCACCTTCACTTCCTTCTTCTTTGGTTTKTATTTCACATTCAGACAGGCAGCGATGCAAGTTAGTTAATCACACCACAACAAAGCAGAACAACTCTTACAATTATTATTCAGAAACCTGTCATCATTTTTACTTAATATTTTCTCAAAAAAATTAAATTGCCTTTCTTGTCAGCGTCTAAGAAAATAAACAGCTAAAGAAACATCACTGACACCAACATTATTAGTAAGACACACACAACATACTTATTTTCGGGGAGATAACATACACCAAAAAACTCTGAAGTCAGAATTAGTTTGTTTTTGAACAAAAAAATAAAAAGAATTAGTCTTGTGATGAAGGACTATAAGTTAAAAATGAGACAATAGCAGTAAAATATGAGAAACTGAAGGAACTCTCAGAGGGACACTGTGTGCACTTTACAAAATCACTCTTGCCCTAACGTCTGTGTATGCAGTGAAGTAAAGAGGAGCTCATACCAAAAATAGGAAATGCCAAGGACACCCTACTGCCTGCAAATAAAATACATCAAGTTTTCAGCCAGGGACCATTTTGTCTGTTGTATCATTAGCTCTCCAAACAAATCCCCAATCTTAAAAGTTGATTGTAAAAAATTAAAAGAGGTCCGATGTCTATTATAAAACTGCCACTTTTATAAAACAATCTGTTGGAGCTTTAAAGCTCCTAGTTGAAAGGAGGTGGTGTATTTTAAAAAGAGCAGAGCTGAGTGATGGAGGGGAACGTTTCAGATTAGTTTCAAAATGACCAAATAAAAGCAGCTGCTGGCCAACCTGCTTCAGAGCCAGCGGTGGCTGCTGTGACGACACTCCTGCGGCCGCTGGCATTGTCCTGATTACTGTGGTTGCTTTCACTGTCGCTCTCCGTTTCAGCTGCTGCCAGCAGGTCCAACTCCATGTCACTTCCTAAAAGCAAAGAAAACATTTAATTATAGGAAAGTCAACAAATGCTTTAAATTCTATTTTTAAAAAAGTCTCACCATCTTCATCATGCTCATCGTGCTGCCCCTCTGCCTCAGCGTTTTCTTCTCCCTGTTCCTCTTGGTCATCATGGTGGTCCTCCTCCCCCGCTACACCTTCTACAACTTCAACCTGAGACACAAACGCCACGTGATTACAACACAGACTCTGCTGCTGATACTTATTTAACGACTTGCATCCATAGTTCTTTCGATTATCTGTTATTAATGAGGAGGCTGACCTCTTCTACATCTGCTGACACGATGTCGTCCTGCTCCTCGTCTCTTCCTCTGACAGGCTGAGACTGGCTGCTGCGGCGAGGCTGAGGGTTCCTGATGATATAAGAGGCAACCGTTTGGCTCGAGCTGAAAAAATTAAAACAAGGGAGTTAAAGTTGAAAGAGAAAAAGCTTAAAAAGTCAAACAATTTATTTTCCTCAAATGTTTTTGTTGCCAGTTTTGGCCAGGGCAAATTTTTAATCCTCAATGAGTTTTCTCTCCTGGTAAAATAAAGGATTAATAATAAACTCATATCCAGATTACTTACATATACATATATTCTGCAAAACAATACGGACATTTGGACTATTTTTGACCAACCTGCTGGACTGGTCCGGTGAGGGTCTTGGAGGTAGGGGTTCAACAGAGAACAGTTCCTCGCTGCCCTGAACTGCATCTATGCTTGTGCTGGCCAAAGTGAAAGGAGCTGTGGGTCTTGCGATGCCCATCCGCACTGGCACGATGAGCGACTCTGCCACGTTACACAACTCCTCCACAGCGTAGGGCAGCAAAGCCTGGAACACGCGCCGACATTTCCCAATCGGCTGGGGGATGAAGTTGCTATGTGAGGGAAAATAAAACTGAATGTTAGCGGCAATAAAAAAAAAAGGAAAAACAAAGTGTAGACGACGTTTTCCTAGGACGGTCAAACAAAATATATTTAAATGCAATCATTTTATGACAGGTGCTTTGTTGCTACCTTTATTTGTTTTACAAAAAATAATTCCAACTTTTGCAAAAATTATTCAAATCACTGTGTAAATACACACCTTTGGAATCAACCATATTGTACTACAACAGGACAAATATTAAAGTAAATTCCAAGATAATATCTCTAATTTGTAAAGGTAATAAACCTATTGTGTTCTTACTTCTTCTTTTTGGATGAGGCCATCTCTACGCTGAGGATAACAAAGACCCGAGCTACGGAACGCAGGAACCTCCTGGTGACAGTGATGGCCTCCTCTCTCCGGCCCGGAGTATATTTGTTCTGCAGCTCCTTCACCAAAGTTCCAAGTAACGTATCTATAAACTAAGAGCGGGAAAAATAAACCGTTTTAAAATGAAACATAAATAAAATACACATAAATATAAAATAGAGTCATATGAACTAAGACAAATGTGTAAATAGAGTTGCATAAATTAGAGGCAGAGCCTGATTTGAGCTGGGCTTACAGTGATGTCAGGAGCACACTTGACGATGAGGCAGTGTGTGAAACAGTCGAGACGAATGGTGCCACTCTGCTGATTCAAGTACACCTGTTCTTCAGGCAGGAGGTGGGCAATTCTGCTGCTGGCACTAAGTCTGAGAAACAGAATGAACGAGTCAATATTTGAGATTTCACCAAAGATGTCGTCAAGTCAGAATCAAACATAATTCAGCTTCAGCAGTTTCAACATAGAACTCATGACAATTACCACTAAAGGTTTTAGTAGAACTAAAACTAAATAGTGCAAATGCTTTGGAAGAACATTTTCTTAGTACGTTTTGTCATATTTGCACATCTTTGACAGAAACCGCAAAATGTGACAACCTGAACTTTCAGATTTAAAGATGCAAATGCGAGTTAATGTTAGCTAATACTTTCAGCAAACTCCTCCACATAAAAACACAACAGTGAAATGTGAGCTCCTTAGAGGCTTTGTAGTTGTTTGTATAAAATATATCCCTCTAAGTAAAAACAGAGCAACACCTATTTAACTCCAAGCTGAGGCAACTGAAAGAGAGTCAAACAAGACACTGTTAGAATAAAATAATTATATTTTAAAGTTGATATGACTATGAAATAGAGTAAATTCTAAAAAAAAAACTTTTGTTAATTAAGTTTAAATGAAAGTTATCAAAAACTTGACATTGGTTGTACTTTTGGTATACACAGACAAACTCAAAGAGTAACTAAGTTAAATAATTGGGACTTCAATAGTGATTAAAAAATAATTTTTTTTGTAACTGAGCAGCCAAGAAGGATCTGAATCCACCAGGGACACAGGAGTCACTGGTGGCCATATCCAGCAGTCACTGGGGCAAGTCACAAGTCCGATGCAAGCACCACACCTCAAATCAACTCCAGGCCTTTTATCTGCTTCACTGAGAATGATATAATGAAGGAATGGCCCACATCTGCCCATGAGCCTTTGAGTCAACTGTTCATTTACTTTTGGTCCTTTTAAAATAAGGTGGGCACATGAGCTGAACTCTAAACCCTTCATCCAATTTTAATGTGGATATTCTCAAATGAAAGCTGAAAGTCTGGATTTTATATCCAATATATTACTATAACTTGAATATATTTCGGTAAACAGGTAAAAACAAACTGTGTGTTCAAATAGATATGGACCTAAATGAAAAATCACATGATGTAAGCTGCTCATTCCTAAGAAACTAAAGTAAAATTTGAAACTAAAGTAAAATTTGGTTTTAATACTTACGGATCCTTGTTTTCCTGAGAACCAAACATGATCATAGACTTGAGGGCGTTCCAGTCCTGCAGGACCCTCTCCAGAGCCAGCTGAGCAAACCGAGGAGGTTCAAGGTCATGATCTGGCATGTCAGAGTCTGTAAAAATACAACAGCTGTAGGTTTTAGTAATAGTTTGGGAGGAGAAATCAAAACAAAGCAGAATTTTATATGACTTTATTGAATGTAAAAAAAAAAAAAGTGGGTAAATGCATGAAAGTGCACATACCTTCTGCATTAGCAGATTTGCGGTTCCGGTCTTCTCTTATGCGTGGCGGCCTGTACTGACAGTGCTCAACGCTTTGTCTGGCTACAGTCTGAACCAGGAATAATAAAATATGCTCCCCTCTGCATACAGAAACAAGTCAGACAGAACAATCACACCTCGCTTATTTGGAAATCAAACTTATTACATTATAAAGTAGATCAACATCCATTAGTGTTGATATCCAGCTTGATATAAAACAACAGTAGTTTAGACTTTTACTCCAACTTTCCAGCAAATATTAAATAAAGAACAAAGTTTGTAGACTAAAGATGAAGTCCAGCACAAACAGCTTACCTGCTGTTCGGTGTAGTGACCAAGTTTGTAGTTGTGAGTAACCTGTACAACAGATCCAGCCGAGCAGCCTTCTGGCCGGCTATCAGTGTTTTACACTTGCATTTCTCCCAGCAGTCACAGTACGCTGTAGGAGAAGTTCTCTTCAGCCTAAGAAACAACGAAGTTAAATCATATATGGGAAAAATAATAATGAGCATGAGTGCTGGTTGTAAATTCATTCTTGCTCTCTGAATCATATCAAAATCACAAGGTGCCTGAGGACTCCCACCCCTAATTATGAGTGATGACAGGAGGGACTGAAATGTTTACAGAGTTGATTAGAAAACAATTCGTACTTGCAGTCGTGTCCTTTGTGACACACTCGGGCACACTCGGTGCAGCAGCAGAGAGACTCCAGCAGTCCACATGTCCGACACTCGAAGATGTCCTAAATACAAACAGTGTTAAAAAAAATCTCAGTGGGGGTCAGAAAATCTTCAATGAACACAATACATCTTAGATACACAATACTTTCCCTCCTGTTAGGACCCTATTTCCATGTAATAGTATCCTGTGGGGCTGACCTGGTTAATGTGCTCAGCTCCGGTCCAGGTGAAACTGCAGGTGTCGTTGCAACAGAGGACATAAAGTGGAGAATCATCTGGGTTGGTTCCCGAGGGACAAATCATTTCCATGAACACAGAATCTGCATCTTCTTTCTCAGCAATGCTGGGGTCACCCACTGTGTTCAGGAACAAGAAATACAATAAAAAGTCAGGAAAGAGACAGAAAACCAGAGAAGCAGGGTAACAGAACAGATCAAGATTCACGTAACTATCAACTAACCACTATAAACTAACATTCATTTGACAGAAAATGTGTTGCTTTCTCAGAATTCATTCATCTGTTTGTTGGCTGGCTGAAAACACCTTTCTGTTTCAGTGGTTTGACTAGAGTTAGACATGCTAGGTATTTAATCCAGATTTGTAATCAATGTRAAAACACTCTCTAAATAACAAAACCAGTTAACGGTGAAACGCCAACATCATAACTTACTCTTGGCAATTTTCTGAGCAGCTTCCAGCACAGTAATRGCTGCTGGGTAGGCTCTACCACTGACAGCCAGCATGAATGGAGTCATTCCTCTAGCATCCCTGTCAATGTGACACAGCAAATGAAAAACAGGCATTAAAGACAGAAATTTAATTTATGGAAAAAGGGGCAGATATGACTCCTTCTGTTCTCTTTAATTTATAACTTGTTTTGTTTTTATTGTATATAGATTCTTTAGTTTGTCTTTGAATGAATAAATACAGAAGAAGAAAAAATATTGCCAATAAAGCAGACAGTTGATATTTTTATCACATGCTTATATTTGTGCTTATATATAAAAAAATCTCACTTTGCAGAGAGCATCTCCCGTAGGTGTGGCCTCAGAATAACACTATCACACATCAGCTTTAAGATGAGGTGAGCATTGGCCTTCCTGTCCTTAGACTCAACCACAGAGGGCTCAGTTGATGGTCCTGACAGAAAAACACAAAAGAAAATTCACACAGGTACAATTTATGCAGAGCTAATAGTGTGAAGTTGTAACTTTTCATTTTCTAATGCACATAAATCGATTAGGAGTTAGGGATGGGAAACTGTCCCTATTTTCAGATCATAAATCATGGACACTGGCTAACGTCGATAGACGATCCAATCAGCTGATAAGGCATGCGCAGTTACGTTGTTAAAAAAATGAGCACGAAAAAAAAACAAGCAGGTCCACTTATTATAAGTGGCAGCTTCTTTTTTTCTAAAGTCGCTTGTAAATTCTGTGGTTATTCAGCGTTCGTGTTCGCACACCTTTCAGAGTTCCTGAGACCCCCCGGGATTTCTACCCGGAGTGAATCCAATGCGGAAAAAAAAAAAGAAAAAAAGTCTAAAACTCGTCACTCAACGTTGTTTATCCACAAACTGGTCCAGGATTAAGCTCAAAAGTTTTTATCAGTCAGATTTCACCGTGAAAATAGTCTATTTTATCCCCTTTTATGAGGTTTTGGCCGTTTGACTATCTTTATAATCGCTGCTTCCTGGTAGTCGGTGTTTGAACGAGTCACTTTTTTCTCTCTCCCTTTTCTTTTTAAGCGAGGGGTTGAAGCAAACGCAGCATCTGAGCGCTTTTAGCACAAACACTCCCACAAACTTGTGACCAATCACACCATATAGTTCTTATGTGGAGGGGGGTGAAAAGTTCGACCCGCACACAGAGCCCAGAGTGACAGGGATGAGCGGGGCTGAGGGACTGCGCTCCGGTCCGGTTCAGAACTGGTTAAAGTTATTTGTTCAAATGTATGATTGTCATGGATTGTTCATTTTGTAACTAAACGTTATAATATAGCTCTATTTGGGTCATTTGTGGTGCACCAAAGCAAGAAGATGACGAGGAGAGACGTGAAAAGGAGCTGCGCATGTTGGCTCCGACTCAGAGAAGAAAAAAATAGAGACGCAGCACTGTTATTTTATTCCCTCATTTGTACAGATCACAATGATGATGATTAAAACATTTTAATTTACAGAGAAGGGCGCATTTAAAAGTTATTTTACATCCCTGGCACAGCATTTAATTAAWAAAGATCGCCCTTAAAAAAATCAAAACGCATTCCAACTCTTCAATCGCCGATAGACGATTGAATCTTAAATCATGCCATCCCTATTAGGAGTACCTCTCATGTAAAAAAAACAACAACGAAAACACTGCAAAACAAATGCCTATTTTTTCATGTTCTCTTTGAATGATTAACAGTTGTATACCTGGTATGGTGGAGGTGCTGGGTCCCTGGCTGTTGCCAGAGGAAGCCGTTGTTAGTGAACCAACAGCTGGTGCTAGAATGAAGTCAATGTCCCCATCTGTTGGTTATAAAAATCAGCACAATTATCAGCTAAAGTCTGACCATGAATCTGTCCTTTGAGGACAACTGAATATAACTGTGTTCCACAAATGTTCCAGTTTAAACAGAAGCTCACCAGGGTCCATTGGTGGGGGGTCTGGAACCCAGCTTGGAGGAGCAATGGGTGGAGAGACTGGGTCTTGATGGTCACTGGATGAAGGTCCAGACTCATGGCGGCCAAGACCTGCAGCTCTGAGAGACCTCCTCATCATTTCCCGTAGACGAAGCCTGTTCATGACCAATTTCTGGTTTAATTTCATAAATTTGAAAATTAAAAAGGACACAAAGTACTATAAAGACACTGGTGAAAGTGCATGTAGAGAGACTGACAGCACCAACTCCTGTGAAACCAGATTTTCAGCAGAAATTAATTTATTGTAAATTTTTTCTCTACCATAAAAAAAGACATGCAACATGATTTACCCTCTGCTGCTGGAGGAGCCTGTCCTGTTTCCTGAGCTGTTGCTCGATACCACAGAGATAGCATTGGCAATCGCTTCAACAGCAGACAGGCGTTCAGCAAACGTGTTTCTCTCTGACCTTTCAGCTTCTGAAATAAACAAGAGCACCATTATCATAGAGGAGTCAGTAAGAAGCAGACAGTTTTAAAAACACAGGCTTTTAAGTTCACTAATGTTTGATTTAAACATCTGTAAACAAAAAATCTAATAAATGAAGTCAGATATTCCAACCTGACCCAGAGGCCTTACCTTCCTCCTCTTTGGTCTCCTTGTTGCTAACAGGGAAGGAGACGGAGACTGCAGCGTGGAGGATGTTGCGGTTTCCATCACATCGATGACTCAGAAGTGCTCCGAGGGCCTGACTGCCCTGATCCAAGAGGAAGGCCTGCTCAAGGTTCATCAGATACTGTCGGCAAGCCTCATAGTCACAACGCAGCACATGTTGCATCAATGTCTGTTTCTGAAAAATAAACAAGATGTTGTTCAATTTTTTTATTTAAACGTTGTCACTTTTTATTCTTTGACAAATATTTGGAGTAAAACATCATTAGTCTATAAAATGCATCTACAAAGTGTTTTATTTTTATACATCTAATAATTTGTGGGGGAAATGGTTACCTCAACAGCCATAATAATAATAGCAGCTTTCTTTTTGATGGTGGAGTTCGATGGGAGATTGGCCAGAGAGTGAACCCCCATTCCCAGGCTGTTTATAGGAGGCAGGTCCAACCAATCAGGATCTCTTATTCCACCCATGCAGTCTTTAGCCATGGGATAAATTGTGCCGTTTCCATCTCGAAGGATAATAGGAGACTCCTGATAAGAAATATTTAGCGTTTAATGTTAGATCACTTTGATTTTGATAAAACATGTCTCTTGGGAGACGTTCACCTGTCCTGCAGTGAAGATGGCCACATTGCGTTCACTTTGTCCCAGAAAGGCCAGGTTACTGGTAGGAAAGTTATTTTCCTGCTCAGCTTTGCCAGTGGCCAGGTCAAAGATGCAGTACCTCACCCAGTTACCAGTTTTCAGCACAGCATGGACTCCTGGAACACAGACATGATTACAGTCACAGCTTAAAAGTAACCCAAGTTACAAAACAGGGAATAAATGTTCCTGAAAGAACTCCTCACCTTTTGAGTCAACGTTTACAGCCAGAATCTCTGCTTTCTCTGGGATACAGAGTTTTTTAGGTGTTCGCTGAAAACAATCTGGAACTTTTGGAGTCCCTCCAGTTTTCACCACCTATGAGTTTGATGTCGGAGACAACCACAGTGACTTCAAATGAAACTGTGAGATTAAAACCAGCAATATGTTTCTACATCATTCAAGTAAGTACCTGTAGCTCATCTATTCTGAGGAGCCTACAATCCTGCAGCAGTGATGACGGGTCCGGGTCAGTGGGAACAGCAGTGCTTTGGTTGCTCATGCTACTTGATGTCCCAGGAAACTTCACAGCAACATACGCACCATCCACCTTCAGAACCTGTCATGGTTTGAAGAAGAAAATAAAAAAAAAAGAAAATACTGATAAAACAAATTGTCTATAAGCAAGAGACAAACTTAATTTCAGAACAAAACTTGTATACAAGTGTTTATAATTAATCTACATCAATTCCTCAAAAAATTTCACTGCATCCTGTTATAGAAATTAAACCAATTTTGTATTTTCTACAAGAGATTTACTAAATGATACTTGCAGATTTTTTTTTTCATAATAATTATCAGCCTGAACATATGCCAGTGAACAGGCCGGTCCAGCTGTTAACTTGTAATGGTGAAGCAGACATATCTTAAAAAAAAAGGTGTTAAATATAAAACATAAAAAAAAGTCTATTTCATTGGCAGCTGTGGACAATTCGTTCATAATGTCATTCTCAATGAAGCAGATAAAAGCCCTGGAGTTGATGTGAGGTGTGCTGCTTGCATTTGGAAGATTTTACTGTGAAGATGTGGTCAAAGTTTCTGAAATGAAGGGATTGTGTTTTTAAAAAGTTCCTCACATTTCTATACAATCATTTTGTTCAACCCACTTAAAGCTGAGAGTCTGAACTTCAACTGCGTCTGAAATCTTTTGTTCAAAATTCATTGTGATGTACCGTCTTTGTCCAAACAGATATGGACCTAACTGTATGTAGTTCATTTACTGAGGTTCTACGGTCAGCTTTTGAACATGAGCGATGTTTAACATTTATTTTGTAACGATACTAAAACTGTTTTGCTTTTGTTAGTTCTAAAGTAAACTTTGATTTTGTTTGGATCTTGTGTTATAAAAACATTTCTGTGCTCAGTTAATTTGCCCAGGTGCACTCAATCATCAACAAATGAAGATATTTTAAACAGTGAATGTAAAAGAAATGGAGCCAGTTCTGCAATTCTTCCTTTCAATTTACATTTTATGACATTTCATTTTGAACTAATCACCCAAAAACGAAATGAACTCAAGACATGCTGGTGAGTCTGAAAGAAAACAGAACAACTTATGTTTCAGATTCACCAACCTTTCCCACAGGAACATTTTTGACATCCTCCACGAAGACCACCTCCCTGAGAGGCCACTGCTCCTCGTTCACCTTCTCTTCCTCTTTGGGAGCTGGGGTGGAACGCCTCCGTTCTAAAATTAATAGAGAATATATACTTTTAAATATTTTAAGCAAATAATATTATGGAAAAATACAGTCTTTTCTAAAGTGGAGAACTGTAAATGCACATAATAAAGTTAGTTCTATAGACACACTCCACTAGCTCCAGGTCCTGACTCCCGGCCTACAATTAAGACCACCTACAAGAAAAATCAGCAGTAGCTATTACAGTATATTGATAGAATTGAAGGTACACTATTAGACTAATTATGGCCATAAAAAGTACTGCTGACCAAATTAATTAAAAACAGAACCAGTAAGAGTATTAAAACAATAAAACATCATACTTGACAGCTTGCCATATAGTTCATATGATAAAAAGTATAAATATACTGCGAGTCGACCACATTTCCTTCACAGGACACAGGCTGCAAAAAAAAGTTGCTGATAAAAGCCTGTGCACCATCTGCCTCAAAGTCGAAGGACTAATGAGAGCAAAGAGTGAGGAAGAAATTGGTTTTGTGCCCAGAGGAAAGGAAAGTCAAGTCTTGAGAGTTGTAAAGACGACAAAGAGGGAAGAGACAGCACATACTGTAGGGCAGAGAGGCACTGCTAGCAATGGAAGAAGCATCACTGCAGGTAGAAGCAGGGGATGGAGGAGGACCCATCTCAGTCTTCACCAGCTCCGGTTTACTTTCCATTCTAAAAGAGTATGAGGAGAAATACAGAACAGCAGCAAAAATAAATTACATCACTCAAACCGTACTGAATCTAACTAATGATTGAACACTGTTCAGATGCAATGCTAAAGAAAATGAGACTGACTTGATTTCCTGGGTCTTTGTGGTTTTCTCCATGTTCTTGAGGCTCTCTGGTGAGCGCAGCTGGAATCTGCAGCTGTCGTTCATATTCCAAACCGACTCCAGCAGGACGCCTACTTTGGGAATCCCGGCACTGACAGAAAAGGCCACTGCACCGGCATGGTAGAGGGGGTTATTCCTCAGACACACCTGAAGGAGGAACCCCGTCGTTTATTTACATCACCACCAACACTTAAAGCACAAATATTCTTAATAAAGATTCAAAGATGATGCTGAAGTCAGTTTGACAGAGAAGCAGAGATGGGGACTCATGATTCGGACTTAGACTTGAGTCGCACTTAAGTCCCAACTTGGACCCTAAAGACTTGAGACTTGACTTGGACTCGTGGTTTTAGACGCACGAACAACGCAAGTCTTTTCACTGATCGGCTCACGATGCTCACCCCCTCAATACACATCCATGCTCCGCTCCCCCTCGCCTGAGAATGGGAGGGGCCAGCGTCGTCCAATGTTAATGACGCGTATCCTACGTGACAGAGCTTCAGCATGGCTGGTGTATTGCAGTAGGCAGCTTCTCTGCCATTCATTATAAGTTTTGCTTACAGAGACTTTATTCAACGCCATGACAAGAGACTGGTAAAATGCAAAGTGTGTGGAGTCCAAATCCAAAATTTGTTTTTGTGATGACTTGTGCAGCTCTTTTACTTCAAGGATTCTGGTTCATCATCTTCAGTGACATGCTTTTATCCATTAAAAAATATATTTTTCTGGTATTTTATTATAAAACCAACAGCAGACTTGTTGGATTTGTTCTTTGTCAGTGGAAAGATATAATTATAGTATGATTACAGTTTGCTTTTGTAAGACTACAAATGCAAAATACAGTTAACAATACTCTAAATGCTTGATTGTTATTTCAACCTTAACCCTGTATTTTTAAAGCAGTATTATGTTTTAATAGTATTATTAAAACCTAATATTTTGTTTTAATATTTGATTAAAACATAGTATTATAGAATATAATCTAGGATAGTTACAATATCTTTGATCAAACTGCCAGTTAAGCAATACATGCAACGAGACTCAGACTTGATGTCAAGAGACTTCAGACTTGACTTGGACTTGCGCACATCTCTGCAGAAAAGTAACTTGAATATTTTCTTACCTGTGTTCCCACAGTGATGTTGGGTATGGAGGAGATGCCAGCGCTGGACTTTGGCTTTTTGTTCTTGGCTCTGGCCTTCTCAAGCATCTTCTTTCTTTGACTAAAAGGCACAACACCCCTGCAGAAAAATGTAATAAAGTGTCAGACTTTTCACAAGCAAACCTCTCTCTTTACATTATAACACAAGTGTCTCTTTAAACGGATCCCCGATTAGTTGTAACATTAGCCTTTATTTGATAAACAAATATTTTAACTGTAAAATAAAGACTGTAAAAATTCTGTAGGCTGTTTAGTTTTTAGAATTTTTAAACTAAAAGTTTAAAAGTATATTACACGGACGGGGCCCTTTTATTTACATGCAAAGCATTCTGGGTAAATGATGACGTGGATAGGTCCTCGGTGCGAGGCTGCTAGCGAGCTATATCCACCCTGAAGGTTAATCTCGGACAATATCTGACGATTGGCTCTTTTAAATAAAACCAGAGCGTTTACAGAGATATATATACTTAGATATATAGACAGACAGGCAGACAGATATAACACACAAAATAATCTGCCTCCATTTGGATGTGTTTGGAATCATCTGCTTCATTTTAATGTGGTAAAACAAATTGCTTGTATTTATTCCTTTCTACAAACTTTGCATATTACTTTTTCTGCACTCCATGTGTTTAATCTATGCACGCTCCGGCGGGGTGACAATCATCCCGTTTTTTTTTGTTTTTTTTTGGGAATGAGTCTGACTGTCAGCCTTTCCCACAGCACTTCCCCACTGTACAAGGAGACAGTATTGCGCTATGACCGCAGGAGAAATGAGGTCCAGACTCAGGGGGTTTTTGTGCGTCCCACTGGAGCACTGACTTCACCTGTACTGACAGTCGCCTCGCTGCATCACCATGTGATGTGGCGCGCGCTCCTCCCGCTGCAGGTACTGTGGTCGTTGGGCAGCCTCATTTAAAAGAGTCGATCGTCAGATATTGTCCAAGATTAACCTTCAGGGTGGATATAGCTCGCTCACACCGAGGACCTATCCACGTCATCATTTACCCAGAATGCTTTGCGTGTAAATAAAATGGCTCYGTCTGTGTTAAAATATATTTTCAAAAATTATAAAAACTAAATAGCCTACGGTATTTTTACAGTTTTTATTTTACAGTTAAAATATATGTTTATCAAACAAAGTCTAATGTTACAACTAATTGGGGATCCCTTTAAAAGGACAAACTTATTTCATAAATAAATTACTTGGTGAAGACTTTAGGAGTTACATTAATTGATAGAAACTAGACAAAGAAAAAAAATGGAATTAAGTCAATGTATTTTTTGTTTAATTTGTTTAGTTAGGTCTGTTGCCATTCATGACAAAACAAGTGGCCGATTCAGATAAAAAATTAAATGCTTTCATAATAACGTCCAACATTACAGGTAGGGAAAAACATCACCAACATATCTGGTAGCAATTCAGTTCTTTTTTTACAGTTATAACAAATTAACACAGCAAAGATTTACATTCCAGTTTAACAAAYATAAAAAATGTTTTTTCCTCACCACCAGTAGAGGCTATTTTCCAGCTGTGCACACGTGTAAAGTGCACAGCAGTGCAGGGACACCATGCGCTCCCCCTGTAGCTCAGGGAAAGCCTGAGCGCTGTGCTCAAGTTTAGAGGCTACTGTGCTCAGAGTATCATCCACCCAGGTGGCCACCTTCACAACACACACAATTAGTGCAGTTAAGTAACAGTTTATTAAGTAAAGGTGTCATATTTGAACACAGTCAATGTCCTCAGGCTGCACAAGTGTCCTTATATAAGAAACAGTGAACCAACCTTGTTGGACTCCGTTGCTACAGTAGCTCTGATGCTGTTGGCAGCCAGTAAGGTAATCTTCTCATTAGCCAGGCCCAGGAAGGATACACGAGGGTGATGAATGGAAGGATTCTGGTGCCACAAATGACAAATAAGTTAAACACAAGCGTGCTCTATAAACAATGTGATTTTTTATTAACCAGTAGGCTTAATGCAATACAGATAAATGAGCATTGTATTTCATGTGTATTTGGTAGTTCCATTCATGCTGGTGTAATCCTTCACCTGTGCATTCCTGTGGGGTTCTGGTTCGCTCCACTTCCACTGATAAAGCTCTCCTTTGGAGCTCACAGCTATGAGCTCTGAGAACATGGCTCCAATGCTCACAAACTTCACACCGTCCTGGAAAAGAACATACAGGTGTCCAAATAACAAATAAATGTGAAAAGATAAGAAGGATGATAAGAGAGCAAAGACCCAAACATGGAAATGAAAGAATGACGATGTCAGTTCAACAAGAATTACAAATCAAGAACTAATTATTAGAAGGATGGAGTCCTGTGAGAGCTTATATATACTTGACACAAAAGGTAAGGAAATTTGTGTCAAATGATTTCTTTGTTGTAACAATGTTTTGGCAATTTTTTCATGTCCACACAGCACATACTCTACTCTACTGCTCATCCCACAAATGCATATTCCTTACAAACGTGGCACCATTTAAAAAGGGAAATTATTAGACCTTCCAACAATGTAAGATTTATTACAAAGAAGCATTGTCACAACAAATAATCTACCAAACACCAATTTATTTACTTTTTGAGATAGGTTTAGTTATGTATTACATATACTGTGCAACAAGAACAGTATTAAAACAACTGAACGGATTCCTTAAGTTGGAAAATCGTGTTAATCAAAATGTTTTTACCTCTGAATTAACCAGTTAAAAAAAGGTTAAAACAAACAAATTAAATAACATCATATCTAAATGTTAGGGTGCTACAATTCTGACATTTCTAACATTTCTAAAACTGTTTTCAGGAAGTGTTTTTTTATGCTTATCTTACCTTGTCAGGCCACCACTGAAGCTCCTCCCCCAGGGAAACGGGACTCTGGACTGGGATGCTCTTCTTGTCGAGGCTGGGTTCGCCCTCACGGCTGGTGGAGCCCCGCTCGGTGTCAAATGAAGCTCCGTCAAGCCACCGGCGCTCACGTAACCTCAATACAGACTCACGTTCACGCAACAGCTCCGAGTCACGCTCTAGGGGAAGAAGGAGAACTGGTATGCAATAAGGTCACACCAGTGGGATAGAAATAAGCCACTCTCTGGGAAAGACCCGTCAAAATGTTTTTAAAAATAGAGATAAATAGTCTTTAGAATAGCTGTAATGCAAGTCAATCAGTTGCAATACTAAGGATTGAATGGGAGTCTAAAATATACTGAGGGTGAGTCACTTTCACAAT